CATCGTGGATGGGCATTCTTGTTGCTCCCCCTCCCTCTGGGGGGGGGGGTTTCGGGCCTGCCAGAACCATGCTTGCTAGCACCTCCATTTTCTCGACTACATGGCTCCGCTGTCTCATCCTTTCGACGATTTGCAGTTATCGATTGCTGATACGGCTGTTTTCCTGCAACCTTAGTCTTACAGTCGCTCTGACTGTGCAACAAAGCCCCCCCATTTGAAGCAGGGTGCGTCGGCTTCATAGCTCACCGCACGCAGAATGCAGCTGATCTTGTCAGCCGAGGGGAAGTGATCATACCTCGATGGTAAGAAAGCAGCCATGAACCCTAAGACGACGTACTGAGCGCAAAGGATGAATTCATGCCCCTGGTTTCACACTGTTTCACCGCTTCTTTTGGCTGACTCAGCCATCCTGAGGTACGAACCTTGCCTGCGGCCTTGGTGGGGTTGTTTGTTGTTTTGGGGTTTGCTGGTCTGGTTTTGACTTGCTGCTTGGTTCGTATCTCACTCTTTTACTAGCCTAAGGTGACTTGTGCATCTCCTGCACACACAGCGCCTCGACTCGTGCAAAAAAAAGATTCAACTGCACCCTTGTTGTTGCTTGCTCTATTGGAGAAATGTGTCCCTGATCAGGGCATTACATCGAGTGAAGAAGCTCAAGCCCTCCTTTTACGAAATTTTCGAGTCGGTGGAGAAGAGGAGGACGAACGTGCAACATGGCTCACGGAAATGATTCGTGCCCTCCTAGCTCCTGTCCCATTTCGGGAAGTCTTTGTCATCCTGGCTCTTTTCCTGCCTCAACTCACGTTTGCTGAAGGGGCCAAGCCTGCCAGTCGCCTGTGGGCCAGTCCAGCGATTCAGCGCAATGACTATGAGGTTCAGGTGGCCCCGCTAGCCAAGGGGCTTCGAGGAATGCGTGAATACCACATAGCTTTCCCTGCATGGTCCAACGCAGCGGCATTTTGTCATCCGTCGCTGCAGGTGATGGAGTTTGGCCAGCTGATTGAAAATCCATATAGGTTGCCAGGTTGGCAAAGTGTACCGAATTGTGCTGGAAGAAGCTACAGAAGTGTGTGCGATGTTGGTTGTATTATTGGAGTTCGTCCCCCAGGCCAGAAGGAAAACCCGGCGTGATGCACCAGACATCGAGACAAAGCAGCTAGGCAGAGTAGCCCACGGTCATGGGAAGTTGCTTTCATCCCCTTCCCCGCCAATTTTGCGCCTCTCCCAACCCAGGCGGAGACAGGGTTGTCGACAGATGCCCAGTGGGCCGTGTTTGCTTGACACTCTCGGCTCAAACATGCACAAACATGCGCAGCCTGCGTCTCAGTGACCAGGAGGGAGGAGATTATAGTGGGGTGGTTTTCTCTTCAGCAGTAACCGATGGAGGATAGCAGCCTGCAATGCTGCAGCCCTGGAAATGGTGAGGCAGAGAATGACCTATACTATCTCACCCTCACCACCATAGCAGGTAATGACATTGAGGTTGCAGCGCCAAGGTGCCTTGGCTCAAGCTGCGCATGCATGTCAATAGTCATTTGCGACACTTCATGATGGCTACCGGAGGTCCCTCGCAAGTCAGCACACCGGCCAGGGCAGAACAGTCAACCACTTACCAGCTTACGCTGGTTACCCTAGCCGGCGAGGAAATTCAAACTGCCAATCGAACTACGGGAATTTGATCGACTTGACGAGTTTGAGAACTCTGTGCTTGAGTGCCTGTCAGCAATTAGTACAATTAGCACATTCGGGTGTGAGCTGGAATTTGTCAACTTGAACACCCAAGTAATTTTTGGCGACCCCATCTGGGACATCTGCAAGAATGCAACTGCTTCAGTCTAGTGGTTCGACAGTGCTTTGTCAGCGCAGAGCATAAAGGACAACTACGACAAAGAGCTAAGGCCATTTGCGTTCCAGCGGAGGACACTGGTTTTGTCTTGCCCAATGCCTTCTCTCACGTCCCAGATTTGAGACACGTATTAGTTGAAACAGGAGAGCTGTCAACAGTTGCAAATTGTCAGGCTGCCCTCCTCTGTAGTTTGTCTCCAGGATGGTGTTTTTCAAGGGTGCTATGCGCTCACGGACGTCCTGGTCCCTGGGTGCATGCGATTTGGACGTAGGGTTTTTGCAGAATGTTGCTCCTTGTACCATAAAGGAACCACTGAGAACGCGGCCAATCTGCTTGCTCCACAAGCCCAAATCTCTCCATACGCCTTTGAGAGTTGCCTTGCACTCTCGCAGGTCAATTTTGAGCAGGCAGGGGCTCAAGCCTCGGTAGTTGCGCGTTACATACCAGAGGGAAGCTTCTGTGGGTCAGGAATTGAACAACTGAAGCTACCTGCAGATTTCAACATCGTAGGACCTATTGCATGTGAGAACTGCAAGCGGCTACGTTTGGTTGATTTGACTGGTACCGATATCACTGCCATATGGGGCTCTACCTTCTCGCACTGTGTGAACCTGGTACAGATCTGGTTCCTGCGGAAGCTAAGACGCATTGGCAAAGAAGCCTTTTTGCTTTGCTCCTCGCTCCAAGAAGTGCGCACCCCACCGGCTCTGCTATATATTGCTCACCGAGCATTCTTCGATTGCGAACAACTCATTCAGCTCATCAAAATGGAAGAGAAAGCCACGTGGCGAGGACCCTACGCCGAAAGCAACCCCTTCGACTTGTGCCAAGTTTCACATGCCTGAGTGGCTCAACCTTCTCCCGCCAGATGGAGAAGGCAGTCAGACATTCAGTTCAGCCGACTTTGATGAGGAGTTACGTAGAAACCAGCACTAACACTATGCCAGCTAGCCAGCCGCAGGCTGGCACCTCAGTGTCGGTCCTGCCGGACAGGCTTTCCTGCTGCCTTCGAAACGCATTGTACAAAAGGGACAAACTAGTTAGGCAGATCCCAGGCGGGCATCTCAGTGTCGGTCCTGGATGAGTACAAAGTGTACAGATTTTTATTTTGGTGACTAAGGCGTAGGGTAACGACGGTTTCACCTTGTTTCACAATAGTTGTGGGGCATTGCACGTTACATCCATCAACCATCTACACACTGAGCGCAAGCTAGATGGCTTCCACTTGCCTTTCTGTGTTCTCCCTTGGCCAAGGTGTTCGGGAGCCACCGACGCAAGTAGAGTGTGTCCACTGCCCTCCTCCCCGCCCGGGGAGGGGTGGCTACCTGCAGTATGCAATCGCTTTCCCAAAAGAGATTTCTATCAATCACAGGCTGCGCTGCTGAATCCTGTTGTCCGAAGGCTTGGAGCAATCGGGAACAATTCACAGTGTTTTTTCCCCATATGCCTGTCCAATTCTGCAGAGGAAAAGGTTGACTCGGCACCGTAATAATAATGCCTGCTCGTTTGACTGCGCAACGTCGTAAGCGTTGCTTTCGATGCTCTCTAAGTGCAATAGCCTGCACAGCGTTCTGATCTCAGGACGCTTTGCAGCGTTGAAGGAAGGACGTTGAATGAAGATAGACAAAGCTTGCACTGTCCAGCAGTACTGAGAGGCCTTTGCTTAATTCGGAGCCCCATGTTTCACCCTTCACTCTTTTCTGGTCTACGAGACCTCCTTGAGTTACATGCCAGTTTGCTTCGTGGTCTGTTTGGGTTGGGTTGGTTGTTTTGTTTGTTGTTTGGTTTTGGTGTTTTGCTGGTGGTTTTCTTCGGTTTCGCATCCTGGCTCGTAACTCTCTCTTAACTAGCACAAGATGACCTGTGCAATCTCTGCACACATGGCGTCTCCACCCGTGCAAAAAAAGAGGGACAATGCTGCGAGAAAGGTTCAGGCTCAGTGGCATTGATGATGAACGTGCTCAAGAAATGGAGCGACTGGCTGAAGATTGTGCACGAGCCTGGGAGGTGACTGAGCTGTGGAAGAAGAGAGTGAGTGAGGTTGAAGGGGAAGCCAAGGCCAAACTGGCCGAAGCGCAGCCCATTTCACCTTGGAAGGGAAGGAGTGGCTGATCACCCGCACAGGATCATGCTACCACACTCCTGAGTGTAGCCACATTGTGAGAGCATCCAATGTGAAGTGGCTGAAACCGTGTGCTTGCTGTGTGCCACCAGCCATGGGGGCCGTGTTAGATTCGCCAGGAAGTTCAATGTCAGGAGCACACAGCAGGTTCACCAGGTTTTCACTCGTCGACGAAGGCCCAAGCTGAGCTGGAAAAGACGGCTCCACTTGTTTTCACTGCCACTGCGACACTGCTGCTATTATTGCACTGTTGCTGCTCTTACTGCTACTGCAATTTGGAATGTTTTTTTTGAGTCAGTATTTGTTTTTTTTATTGATGCGTGTAGAATATTTTTTTATTGAAGCGGTAAATATTTTTTGATCTCTCACCCATTTTTTTTTCCCAGTTTTCTTGACGGATTTGGAAGAACAGATGACCATTTTGTTGTTGTTGCAACCAGAAGCACGGCCACCGCGATGCCACGGACGAAGGAGATATACAACAGCTGTGACCATGTTTCGTGTTGGAACGCAGCCAGTGGTTTTTCGAGGGCCAGGGCAGGCTGAGCTTAGCAGTTGAAGAGAACATCAATCCACGATGATGACATGCCGTTCATGCTTGACAATGCTTGGGTGGCAAATTTTGTATCATTGCGATGCCCAGTCGCACTGAATGTTTTTTTGAATTCGTCAAAAATATAAATAAGCCGTCGAACATGGTTCGGCGTTGTTTACCAAGTAGCTATGGGCGGGCTGCTGTACTGGACCGCAGACGGAATTGGATATTGATCCCATTCACTTGCAGCGTTTTGCACCCTCATATTTGGTCGATCATGGTCCTTTCAGGACTCATTGTTAGCTATCTTTGCTAGCGCAGCGGCAGTGGCCGGAGCCTTGCGTGCTGGGAGGCATGTGCGTTCCAATCAACCTTCATGTTCAATTCCAGCATAAAGAAACTTCAAATGTAGTTGAACTGTATGTGCTGTTGCTGCTAGAATTGTTTCCCTACCAGATCATTGATAGGCCTGGGTTCAAAGGCTTGGACCTCGTTGCTGGCTTGGACCTTAGTCCAGTTGTGAAAGATTCTCGGCGACAACAAATCCAAAGAATTGTTGGAGTTCATTCTTCGCCAAGGTGCCTCAACTTTGTACATCCTCATCATGTGCCCCCCGAATGAGCCTCGTTGGTGATCAAATGTTCATTGTTCTTTCAGATGGAGATTCTCAGGCCGCTTGGAATATGTGCTTATCAATTCACCTTGTTAATTGGGTCCTGTAGTACACCAGGAGTTCTGGAGGCCCTCTCTGCTTATGGTCTATTTCCCAGCGAGGTATTGCTTCCAGAGCTCGCCGGGGCGCCTGGAAAATGATGTAGATTCATAGGTTTGATAGCTTCTGAGTGTGTTACCTTTATTTAGGTGGGTCTGACCAGGTCTTTTGTGCCAACTTGAGACTTGTCATGAACTTTTTGCTCTGCAGGTTCTTGGAGTGGCCAGAGCCTGGTTTTCAGAAGTTTTGGAGCCAAGTTGCGTTTGTTGTAGTTTGGAAGGGGGCAAGTGCTTTGGAAGTGCGCATGTCTCAGTTCAAGGATTCTTGAGCCGAAATGATAAAAAGCAAAACGAAAAACTTTTTTGGTGCCAACCTGAAGTGTTTTGCTGCAGAAAGAGCTTTAGACCCAAGTAGTGGACGAACAACAAACCGAGGAAACAAATTGCATAGAAATTGGTAGCATGGCTGGCAAGACAGGCTCTTTGCACAAGAGTTTCAGGGACATGCGTTTCAATTTAGCAGCTTGGGTAGTGAGATGAGTTGTGACTCTCCTCTCAGTTTTGGAGAAATCCTTGCGAAAGACATAAACCCGCTCAACATGGAGATCCTCTCGGATGATGAAGAGGACCGAGCCCGAGCCCATTGGTGTGAGGGTTTCTCACATTGTGAGAGTGTTGGGGAGGCTGAATTTACACTTTCATCAGTTGGAGACATTCTGCTTGAGGTCTGGGAGTGAATCGCTTTTGTGGTCAGTGCTTTTTGTTTCGCTTGTCCTCTCTTCAATCGAACAGTTCCTAAATGCCCCTGTGAGGATGTGCCAGTGCCAGCACAGGCACCTGCTGTGGCATGTGATGTGACCCACTCAGATCTGTAGCGCAGGGGAGAGTTCTCAGCGATGCGCTTTGTTACTAGTGCTTCTTGTTCCTAGTAGTAAGGCCAGGAGCCCTTAGTAGCGTCCTTGCTCCTAGTAGCGATGCCAGGAGCCCCTAGTAGCTTCTTGTTCCTAGTAGCGATGCCAGGAGCCCCTGCTCCTTACTTAGTAGCGATGCCCTTTGATCCTAGTAGCTTCTTGTCAGAAGAATATGTCCAGTTAGCTTTCAATCGTTCGAGGCCCGCGTGAGCTCACTAAACCCTGTACATGGACAATAGACACTGGGGATTTTGAGACGGTTGCTTTGAAGCTGGAATATCTATTTTATATGTTATTTTTTTTTCCCACACTTGACTTTGTTTGCATAGGTACAAAGCACCTTAACCTTCAATCAAGGAGCTGTTTTGACTCAAGGGTTGAGGCCAGATCTCCCGATCATTGTCCAGATGGCCATGCTCATGTCAAGTCCCCAGATGGCTATGCCCATGTCGGCAGTGCCTGTGTCCATGCCGGCGGTACAGATGCCCCTCATGGGTTTCTCAAATGCCTTGCTGGTGCCAGTTACAGTTGTAGCAGTCAACCTACCATCGCCGTCAGCAAGTCCTACCATTGCCAAGCAAAGCTCCTTGTCCTCGGAATCAGAGACTTCCCTGCCACTCTCGAGACAAAGCTCTGAATCGATCGACTCGGAGCTTGGCCACTCGGCAAAGCTTTGGTTCTTGATCAGTACAAATCATGCAATTGACCAGCAAGCAGTCAAAGGTGGTATTAAAACAGGGAGATGTAAAATACAACTTGAACTCCAGAGTACGTTGTGAAAAGCTGAACTGAGGTGAACCCTTGGAGGGCTCTATTTCTGGCCGCGTCTGGGACTTGTCCCAACGCTCCAAGGGTTGCCGCCACGTCCAGGCGAGCCTGGACGCTGCCAGCGACGCCGAGCGCGCGCAGCTGGCGTCGGAGCTCCGGGGCCGCATCTTTGCAGCGGCGCGGAGCGCCTGCGCCAACTACGTCCTCCAGAAGATCATCCACGTGCTGCGCGTCTTGGAGATTTCAAAAGAAAAGAACAGATATATATATATATATAAGGCAGCTGATGATTTCAGATGAAACAGATTCGATAGGTGTCCTGGGGAACCAAATCAAGAGGTTTGAAGTAACCACTGAGGGTGCTTCGGGTCAGAAGCGGCTAAGCCCAGGCTGAGTCAGATGGAACAGGCCTTGGAAGTACAGGGTGTCAGAGGATAGCTTCCCTCTATTTATCTATGGATTGAGATGGTTTTCCTTGATCTCCATTCTTTATCACTTTTTGTCGTCCGGAGGGTGAGGTTTCAGGGGACTCAACTTCCACGGCTGGCTTGAGGTCCTCAAGCGTGCCAGTTCATTATCGATGAGCTCATGCAGGTGCTAGTGGTGGCCTTGACACCCATGACATGCTTTGGATTTTGAACATGGAAGAACAGCTCCATTTTGATGATTCTCCAGGATCCACAAGAGGTGCCGGCTTTGGCACGTCATCAGTATGGCTGCCGTATCTTGCAGCGCCGCTTGTCTACTGAAGCACTCAGGGGAGAAGAAGTGTTCGTGTCTCACCTCACCAAGTTCATCAAGTGGTAATTTTGACGTCTTTCTCCGGCCGCAAAGCCTGGAGGTCTCTTGGAGCATTGTCAAAGCCAACAGATGGGAGGCCATTTTTCGTTTGATAGGATATGCTGAACCTGACATGAGGGCAATGTCTGCCTTTTACTCTGTTTGAGATGAACTACATAACTACATTCAGACGCAATTTGGGAAGCACAGTTCAGCACTTTGACATTGATATTCAACATCGTTGCCCAGCTCCCTCTGCATGGAGTTCGACCGTGCAAATTCTCTGATGGTGTCACCAAACTTGCTTTTGTTTGGGATTGCTTTCTCTGGTCTTCTGGTCTTTACTGGCGCAGGCATCATTCAGCTCTTGCTCTCCGAGGCCCTGTCCTTGGTGCGGCACAGCTACGGCACCTTTGCCCGAGCCCCAGCGATGCTGTAGAGCGCAGAGCGAACAGTGCCTGCGATGTCCGATGTCGTTCCCGACTGTGTGCACATGCTGTATACTGTATATAGATTATAGTTTGCGGTTGAAGCAAGCAGCTTTTCGCTCTGGTGTCACTGGGCAAGCGCCAGGTGATGCAAGAGATCTTCGACTTTGGCCACTAAGCCGCAGAGCGTTTACCTTTGAGAATGCATCTGGTAATTCGATCCTTGGAAAAAGCATCGGCTCTTGAAGAAACTCTGAGTGAGGTACTGGTTACTGGTTTGTGCTGTAAGTTTTTGTAGCTAGCGAATCTACTCCACGCTGAGAACTGCATGAGTTTTGCCACCAGTTTCAGCTCTCATGCATTATCATACTTATATTAAGTCGTAGTGCCTTCTACCGGTATCTCAGGTACGGAAGCGCAGCGACGTCGTTTGGGTGAAGTGTTGCTTGGGGCGGGAGACCTGGGCAATGACGAGAGCGCCACCCAAGTCCTGCAGAAAGCTCTGCTGCACGCGCCGCAGAAGGTACGGTGCATGGCAATGGAGGGGATTGGACGAGCGGATTTGATCCAGTCGACATGAAAAAGCCCAAGAACAACAATACTTGGGCTTGGCTTGGGTTGATAGAGTTGATAGAATCGCAGATAAACCTCAGTGAATGTTATATTTAATATAAGAGCATTCAATATCTGGCCAAGTTGGCGAGGTTGCCTTGGCCCGCTCGCTGGTGCCGCAGTTTACCCACATTGCCCGTGGTCGACATAGCCACCATACAGTGCTGGCGGCTTTGCCACTCTTGTCACAAGAGGACTCCACTGCTACTTTAGCCACTGAGTAGGAGTAGGTCCAAAGGCTAATCTTCAAGACATTGTCCCGTACTTGCCGCTCCCCAAAATCTCCCATCCAGGACTCTGAACGGGCCATTGCACTTCTTTCTTCGAAGGCCGGGCAACTTTTCGGCGTTTCAATCTTTAAGGCGGATCACACGCAGGTGCAGAAGCTTTGGGCATCACGCTATGGCCGTTTGGTGGCTACTCGGTTCCACTTTTCCTTGGATGTTTCAAGACAAGATCCTTTCAGATTCTGGATATCCCTAAATTAAAAAGTTGCCGCTCAGTGAAGTCTTGCAGTGCAGGAAACAAGGTGCAAGCCTTGCTAAGGTGAAGGCAATCCCCAGTTTGCACCAACAGTGCGTGGGGATGACACGGCGGGAGGCACGGGTGCGGCATAGGTGGTGCTTCCATGGATGCGGCCAATACTTCAAAGAAACTGGACATATCATATAATTGATTGTCATTGTTTGCGAGAGATTGGGCATGGATAGAGATCCTGGATTGTCAGGCTGCAAATGCATAGATGCGAAGCAGCTTGGCAGAGTCTACTTTTCGGCCATTGGGAACTTGATCAAAAAGGCCCAGTTGAGAATGGAAATGGGGACAGTCTCGCAATAAAGGGAGACACGAGTTCAAGTCCCAAAATCATGCGCCGCATTGGATCATCGTACATGTGCCTGAGTCCCGCTGGAAATCGCTAAGGAATTGTGTTCACTGACCTCAACAGATTTTGGGGGAGCGCAAACATGCAACTTCCCTTGCAGGTCTTCCCACCAGAGGAAGGAACCACAGAAGGGCACATTGATTGACTTCAAACTGCATGTGCGGACATTGTCGGCTTGTACAAGTCTGCAGTGAAACACACCCCAAGTGTCACAAAGTCGTCACTTGGCAGGCGTCAGGGGGAAGGGGCCTTGTTTTTCTCTAAAAGCATCATGCTAGGCGCTATTGGCGCTTTCTGTGAGGTTGCCTTGAACACTTGACCCACCCCCTGTGGCTCTTGGTTTCAAGTTTAAGCAAAGGTCTTTTGTATAACACCCTGAGGTTGCATTCAGGGTTCTCCTAAACCAATGGTTTCTGACCTGCTCTTTACCTGGTCCACGAAAGCTTTCAGCATGGTGTAAGCTCAGGGTGTCCTACAAAGCCCAGATCAATGTGCTTGAATTCAATCAAGGTTTTCAAGGTGCTGGTGCTCTCACGAGCACAGGCCTTTACCTCGCAGGTTTTGAATGCCTGAGCGGCTGGGCAGACTCCGCTGGACCTTGTGTGTTGGTACAAGTCCTCCTGGAGATGCTCCACAAATTCACATTGTAAAAGTCCTCGCGAAGGACATTCTCGTTTGGCACCAACTTTGGCGCTTTTTCCCGTCTAGCTGCTTTGTATCCCGTTGCTTGGCCCCATCATTTTCAATCATCGATGAGATGTGCTGGCTGCAGAGACGTCAGCTGGCCCAGCAACTCGGGTTTCTAAGACGCGCGGGCCTGGAGAAGGCTCCGCACGGTCCACACGTTCGACTGAAGAGTGGA